AGTTTGTACTGATGGAAAGGACACTATATATGCATACTCATCATTCTTAGGCGTTCTCTTAAACATGTTTTACCCTGTGGATTCATCACTTCCCAGCACGTTTCAAATGCCACCTGTCGAGATCTGTTTCCCAAATGTACTCCAACAACAAGTGGTCCTATGATTAGAGCTTCCTTAGCATTTTTGGGTAGATTTACAAGGTGCGTTAGTACATCAAAGGTTCTAAGAGGTCCAGCAGGCCTATTTTAACGTTAGCACATTTTCTAACCTTACTTCACAATGGAACCTTCTTTGTAAGTCACGTTTGTTCAGGTATTCTTATTGGGAGCTGCAGATCCAAATGCTGGCCCGTGAACACTGCCAGGCAAACACAGCGGGTCCACACAAGGAGAGAGCATCTTCTAAGAAAAACCAGAAGTACTGGAGCTTTCTAATAAAATGGTAACTAACAGTTTGGACTTTGGAAGACAAAATGTTTCTCCCAAAGTGCGCTGGGGCAGAGCTTTGGTCACCTTACCTCAGTTAGCTGCTTTTGGGGGCCAGAATATCTCAGGTCATTTGGATGTGCACATGTGTATATGTATGAACACAGGGGGGGTGTAGATGTGGGTCACATAGGAACCTCCTCCAGTATCCCACCTCATAAGCCTCTGAAAGCCCTTGTCCTCCAGGGCCATGCTGTCTTCCACATTCCATCTAGCTCCACAATCTGGGCCACAACCACCCATCTTCAAGGTATGTAGATGTGTGTGTGTGTTTTTTTTAATAATCAACACATTTGTCAAATTAAACTATCGATATCTTATTTAAATCCTGTTTCAGAAGCAGAATGATCAAGTATTGTCAGACCTTGAATTCAGATTTTTATGTAACAAATATTTTAATCACAAAGGTTGATATATATATCTGTCCCTCCGTCCGTACATAGACACCTATTTCTTTTCTGCATATTTAGGCCTTTTACTGTACTTTAAAGTCATACTTTAACAGAAAAAGAAGGCTGTGGGCAACTTTGATCTCAGTTTCAATGGAATGCTCCTGAATTTGATGAGTCTGATATACTACTGGAGTTGCCAGCATCATTCAGTGGGTGTCCCTGGACCCCAGAGTATTGTGTGCCTAGGAAGTCCTGGATTGAACTTCATCTCTAGGCTACAAGGTCAATGCTCAGGCCTGTTACCTCTTACATTTATATGATTACATTCATTTTTCATTCATATCAATCTTCTCCCTTCAGTAGTTTGGATACTGAGGTCTATTACATCCTTTTATACAGTCAGAGTGGGCTTTACAATGTCCGAGGGGGGCTTTCTGTACATAGCAAAGATCACTTATAGATATTTAGGTCTTTAAATAAGGTTCAGTATACTAAGGGTACAAATGCAAAAAAATAAAAATTTCCTTTACTAGAGATAAAAATTAAAAATAACATTTTTTTTATCCTCATCTGAGGACATTTGTTTTGCATTTATCTTCAGATAGAGCAGGAGGGAGAGAGGGAAGGAGAGAGAGAGAGAGAGAAACATCGACATGTGAGAGACACATCGATTGGTTGCCACCCACACAACCCCAACTGGGCTGGGGACAAACTTCAACTGAGGTAAGTGCCCTCAGCGGAACTGAACCTGGGTCTCTCTGCGGTTCTAACCCAGCAGTTCTCAACCTGTGGGTCGCGATCTCTTTGGGGATCGAACGACCCTTTCATAGGGGTCACCTAAAACATAACAGTAGCAAAATTACAGTTATGAAGTAGCAACGAAAATAATTTTATGGTTGGGGGTCACCACAACTGTATTAAAGGGTCGCTGAGCCAAACCGGCCAGGGCAAAAATAACATTTTTCTGAAGTCTTGAATGCAATTCGGTCTACTTATAAATTTGGTAATTTTTAAATAATAAAATAGAAACTGTAGGAGGCTTTGAAAAACATTTGATCAACTCAAATGGAAGACTGAAGGCTCTTGAGTCATTTAGAAACACGATGGAGTACATTTCCTTAAAAACATACATTGCATGTATAAATTTAGTGTACTTGCCCTGGCTGGTTTGACCTGCGGACCAGAGTCGCCAGCTGGGTTCCTGCTAAGGGCGCATATCTTCGTTGCAGTTAGTCCCCGGCCCTGGTTGGGGTTGTGTGGGTGGCAACCAGTCCATGTGTCTCTCCCACATCGATGTTTCTCTCCTTCCCTCTCTCCTTCCTGCTCTATCTGAAGATAAATGCAAAAATGTCCTTGGGTGAGGATAAAAAAAAAATTAGTGTATTTAATTTTTAAAAAGCACTTAGTATGTTTCATGGGGAAGGTTTCAACCCAAACCTTGCAGAGTATTTACTCAGGCTTCATGTCATCAAATACATGCCGGCACTGCTAGCCATTGGAGATGCAACTGTGAACAAAAGAGGGTAATGAGTGACCACGCAGAAAGCAGAAAATACCCCCTGACCTCATGGCGTTTGCATGCTTACAGCTCTTCAATTCCTTCAACTCTTGCAAATCTAGCTACCCCAAATTTTAAGTGAGAATTTCAAAGTCAAAATTCTCATACTTTTCAACTTAAAACTACAAGTCTAAAATCAATTGTACATTTGAATTAGAATCACAAAGCAAATGTGTCTAATTAGTGTCTCTAATCTATCTGATATGGAAATATCAAATGTACAAATTATTCTTAAGCCTAATTTTTAAAAATACTAATGCTCTAAAATTGATTTGCTTTGTAATTTCTCTATTTAATTCTAAACCTTCCTAGTATTGGATACTGGGATTACATACCCGAGCTTACCTGATGGACGTTCATGACCCAGATAGTCTCTAGTAGGTTTACAGATTTGAAACTAGGACTAGCGACATAGGGCTTGCATGTGACCAGTGAATCTCCCCATGGACAGATGGACACATGGAGTCTGATTTTAACAGTGGCTACAGTAGTAACTCCACAAACATTTTCTTCAGATAGGATTGGTCTCACAATATGCTCTTTGTTGTTTGCTAGATTCAAGCCTTACTACCTTCATGATCTCGTTTGATGTTGTCATGTGATTTAGATGGATACATTGCTTAACTGCCCCTTCCTCTCCTATTTTACTCTCTGATCTGATTCAGTCACCCCAACCTATTTACTGCCTGAATCTTCGGTGTCTGGAGTTTGGCCTTGGCTCCAAGGGCATCTGTTGGAAGTATGGACATTGGATGATGTCACTTCCCCGCAAGGCCTGCATTCAGAGGTGCCTGAGTGGAGGAGGTGTAGCGCTCCTTCCAAACTATCTATCACGCACCTCTCCCATTCTTTCACATGAACAATGAATATTTTCTGTTTTAAGTCAAGTGCAATTCAAACTTACTTTCCAGAAAATTCTGGGCTGACCCCTCCCTTCAAATAGATTCCCTCCTCAAGTCCCTTCTATAGAAATCTTAAAACATTGATTTTTTTGCTTAAAACCCTTCAGTGGTTCACACTGCACTGGGAATAGAATACAAAACCCCGAACATGGTCTGCAAGTTGTTGCATGATCCGGTTCTCACCTTCCTCCATGACCTCATGACACCCCTTTCTCTTAGGCTCCAATTCCAGTCACACTGGCCTCTTTCACTTCTTCCCACAGAAGCCAAGATTCTTTCCGACCTCAGAGCCTTTGTCTGTGCTGTGCCCACTTTCTGAAACATCATTTTCCCCCCTCTTTGGTGGGATGACTACTCATCCTGCAGGTCTCGGATTAACTCATTTTTTTCAAAGAGGTTATTCTTCTTTGTAGAATGCACTCAATTTGTGCATTTATTTGCTTGCTACCATAGCTGCGTGGGGCCAGGTGATGTTCTGTTTGCTTAGCACCCATCCCAGTCCTGGCTTACCCTAGACTGTCAATAATCCTGTGCTGAATGAATAAATATCCCAGTTGCCACAGCAATCATCATTGGCCTTCAGTCATTACTACTGTAATCATTCATACAACCACTTCTGGCTCATGGGAGGTACTGAGTAATTGTTTTTTGAATTGAACTGAGATACATACCTAAATGTCAATATCTTATGCATTTATTAATACCATGATTTTTATTACCTTTATGTTTCTTTACACATTTAGTCTTCTATGGCTTCTAAAGCTGTAGTCTTTCTGTTCTTAGTTCTCTTACAATAAAGAAGACATTTTAGCAAACTGTGTGTTTTGGGAGGACTCGCCTAACTTTTAAAAAATGTCACTGGACATTAGCTAATTGGTTTACTGTTAGTCATAAATTTTCGATTAGTGTAAATGTAAGGTTATACTTAGTGATTTTTATTTGTTTGTTTTTATACCTGGGGTGTCCCAAGAGATAGGTTAGTTACACCAGCCTCAGGTTACAGAGGGAAGAGTAATGGATGAGAGCTCTAGTTCTGATTCCAAATGCTGCTGTCTTCAACCCCGCGCGCTCCTCCAGTTCTCAGAAAACTTTCCTGCCCCCGAAGAATTCAAGCCTTGGAATAGCACTGAATTGTGCTAGAACGGAGTCTTAACCATTTAGAACCCAGTGTCTTTTTTCTTTCTTTCTTGGCGGTATCAGCTTAAGATCATAGCCCCATATATTTAGTATCCCTGCCTCTGCACCTTGGCACCTGTGATTATGAAACAACAGCATAAAAAAAAAAGATTTTGAACCGTTGTATCGTCACAAACGGGCAAAACGCTCAAAGGCGTAAAATAAAATACAACGTGGAAAAAGAAAAACGAGGTTTATTTTTGTTGTTTCGAACACCGAGGCATTTCTGTAAATCCAAACGGGGAGATGGTGATTTGCAGACCGGGTGGCGGCGCTTCATCGCGGGGGCTCACAGCATTGTGGCGGCTCGGCTTTAACTCCCGTGACCCCGGCGCCCCGGCCGCATCCCGGCCAGGCTCCGGGGCTGTGGCGCGCAGCGCCCCCTCCTTCACTCCCGCGCGGCGCATTGTTGTCCTTTAGTGATTGGTTGTTGGACCAGCAACAGCTGTGCAGAGCCGTGCTGTGAAAAGGCGCTGTGGACCTGAATGCAGGTTAGCGGGCTGGCAGCGGCTCCACCCGGGCCCCAGGAGAGAGGAGGAGCAGAGGCCACCTCTGCTGCATTTTCCAGAGGCGCAGACGGTGCTCAGGCGCTCGAGGCTGCTGGAGGAGCTCGCGGTGGCGCCCCCTCCCCCGGCTCTGGCTGACTTCAGGGTTGGCGCAGGTGGGCAGAGCAGGGCGCCGCAGATCTCGCAGTTCCCACCGTGGGGTTTCTCTCCCTTTCCGCGAGGGGGAGGGGCTACCCTGAAAAAAGGTAAATATCCTAGTGCTGACTTCAGCCTGGGGCTCCGGCCAAGGTCCCTGTGCGCCACCGCAGCAGGGCGTTTCACGTGAAAATGAGAAGCCTGACGGGATCCGTGCTCTAACTTAAGGCAGCTTGGTGATTAGCGGGAGACTGGGCAGCGGCCCTGCTTCCTGCCCTTCAATAGCCACTCTGCGCGCTAGAGACCCCGCCGTGGTGCGCCGTGCGGGTGTAGACCGTCAAGCTCCGCATCCTTGGCAGCCATGGCTCCCGTCACCGCCTGGGCCAGTAAGTAGGAGCATGCATGTGTAGGGGGCACATGTGTGTCGGGGCACACGCGCGCGCGCGCGCACACACACGCGCGCAGGCACGCACACCACCCTGAGCCTGGGAAGGAGCAAGATTGACGAGACGCTGCAGCCGTGAGGACGACTCCTGCTCTTCTTGGATCCGGCAGAGCCCACCCTCCGCAGCTGCTGTCCGTAGAGCCTGCTCGGATCCTTATGCACGCACGCCCCCCATTCCAGCCTCTGTAATGAAGACTGCCTCCCAAGAACTGCAGGGGAGGCAGAGCCCGCCTGCACCTGGGACTGCGGGCCGCGCGGCTGGTAGGCCCAGGGGGACACGACTTGGACACTGTCATCTCCACGCCTCGCGCTGAGCCGCCCCTCTGGCTTCCCGGGCGCCCGATCCCGGGTCAGCCCCGGAGGCCTCGGCTTCCTCATTTGTTTGGGTCTTTTGTGCCGGGGCTCACAGTTGGCTAAGCACTCCTGCGCTGAATCGGGCCATTGTCTGCGCTCCCATTGCTTTCACGCTGCAAGTCTCAGCGCCCCCACCCCTCCCGCCCCCTCCCCGCCTCCTCCTGGCCCGAGAGCCTCCTAACGTGCCTTTCCCCCCAGGAATCTGGAAGCTATAAGCCGGGCGGATTGCAAATGAAGTGTAATGCATTGTGGGACGTGTGTAAAATCGGAGCCTTCACCGTGGGAGGGTGTGGGGGCGTGGGGAGGGTCGGCCCCGCCGCTGGCGGTGTAGACGCCGACGAGGAGGGGCTGGGAAAATGCGCGCAGAGTGCGCCCGGGTCGTGCCCGCGGTAGACGGATGAAGCCGCACGCTGCGCCTCGGCACTGAGGCCCCAGGATCGGGGCAGCAGGTCGCCCTCCCCACCATGAAGAAGACCCGGAGCACAACCTTGCGGCGAGCCTGGCCTAGCTCGGATTTCTCGGACCGGGCCTCGGACCGCATGAGGTCCCGCAGCGAGAAGGACTACCGCCTGCACAAGCGCTTCCCCGCGGCCTTCGTGCCCCAGGCTTCGCGGGGCTACATGACATCAGGTTGGTAACCCCGTGGCTGCCCCCGGGCCTGGGGCGCGGGGCGGGCTCCCTGCGCCGCGCCTGGGGTGCTGGCAGGGGAGGCCGGGAGCTGATGGATGCGATAAGTTATGGGGAAAGCAAGCAAAAATTAGCCTCACATCCACCATTTTGTACCTCCGCAAGATCCACAGCAGGCCCTCTCAATATGGGGTTTGAGAGCTATTAGTTAGGTAAAATAGGGAGGGGGCCGCGCCCGGCTTTGGGCTGCGGGGAGATGCCTGACGGCAGGCTCCCAGCAGCAGCCTCCTTGAGCTTTGTGGGAGAGCCTGCGTCCAGTGTCGCCTGCAGTACCCGGCTTGCTGGCGCCTGCGTTGTGGCCGGCTATCCCAGTGGGCATTTAAAGAGCCCCCCTTTCGGAAAAGGGAACAGGTTCCATGCACAGTTCCGAATGTCTGAGTCAGGGAAGAGCCCGCACACATCTCCGGCTCGTCCCATTTGCACGCAGCGAACTCTGTTGGAGCTCATTGACTGCATTCTGTGGGGTGATGGTGTGTATGCGGACTGAACGTTCCCATGATTCGGTGTGGATTTAGCATATGTTGCTTTGAACTGGGTTGTATGGGAAGAATGGAGGCTGTATCGCGTGTTTGCATGTCAGGCGGGAAGGACAAACAAAACGGTAAATGGAAATGAAGGCTTCAAGAAAGGTTTCATCTTAAAAGGCAGTGCCGTTCACCGCGTTTCCTGAAAAAGCCAGTTTCCCTTGGAAATACACCGGAATGGCTTTGGTGTGTGACTTGGGAACCCAGGGATCAAATCCTGGGGGAAATGCTGAAGGATGAAAATGCTGGCACCCGTGCCTTGTTTTTGCCTTACTTATTGTTGACCATTTGTATGGAATCATGTCTAAGACATCAATTTTTGTTTGTTTTTCATCCTGAAAGAATTAATTTTCTTCTAAAGACAGCTGATGAAAGTACATCTATAGCCAGTCATTGTAAGTCCCATCTCGACTGGGAAGATTGCTTTATGCTTGCGGTTGGTACTTAGAGTCCAACACTGGGATATTCCTCCTAAAACAGCGAGTTTTAAAACACTGGCGCAGTATCTCATGCTTTAAAAATGTCTGTGACCACATTTCCATAAATATAAAACCTAAATAAAATAACCATCTTTTTTATTGCAAAATCTGGCGACATAAGGATGCTGGCAAATAAGGCTCCCTTGATTTTCTCTTTCATGAAAAGCCAAATTTGTAAAGGAAGTGACAACTGTAGTTTATACTTAAGTAATTTAAATCAATCACTGCTGTGGTTGCTCTATTCTTCCGACTTGTACAATAAATTTTGAAATACACCTAAATCGAAATCTAACCTCAAAACACATATGCACATAAACCCATGTCTGCACTGAGTGTTCAGATAATCCAAGGTTTTGTATGCTTAAGGGTTTGAAAGTCTTCATTCCACACTGAATAGTATAGTGCCCCCCCTTTTTTTGCCCCTGGCCATACCAAGTGCTCCTACCAAGTGTGAAGCTACAGGAGGGCAGGTGGCCATAATTTCTTCAACAAGCCTGCAAGACTCTTTATTGATTTCAGGTACATTCACATGGAGCCTATTTTTGTCTATCTTGGCTTAGCTTCATTATGATCACATTCATTCTTTACTAAATAACTGCCTTTGCCAGTTCTGCAAAACATTTTTTTTTTTTTTTTTTTATTGATTCTCTTTTCTCATTTCATTTGTTGACCTGTAAACGGTAAGCAGGTCTTATGGTGATATTGAAGAATAAGCTGTTTCAGGCTGTTTGGTGGTTTTTGATGCAGATTCAGTGTTAGGTTACTTCTGAGAAAAGAAACCCAAAAGGTGGGGGAAGAAGAGCTGTGTCATTCATTCAGCATTTTATGGAAGTGCCCGCTGAGAGCAGAGTGCCTTGTTCCATTCTCCTGCGGCCACAGGGTTGGATGTAATCTGGCTTTGTCCAGGGAGGAAGGGCCATTATTTATTCTTTATTTTAAATGTTAGCAAATACTCGTAAGAAAGGTGTTAGTGTTAATGGATGAACATAGTAAATGGTCAGACATCCACAATGGTACCTGGGAGAGTAGGTGGAATCTTATATGCATCTTTTTTTTTTTTTTTTTGCGGGGTGGGGGTGGGGCAGTGGCGGGGGTGTATATCTGGTCAATTTCCTTTTCAAATACAGCTCCTTTTCAAATATGAGTGTTGGTGGGGATAGATGGTAGTGCATGAAATAGTTGAGATTATTTACCAGGAGGTCTCTTCCTTCTAAGAAATGTAGAGGAAATTCACTTGTATCAAGTTAGTGACTCTGGATACAAACAGAACCTTTGTCACATAAAATGAAAGAGGAAATGGAGCAGCTGAGAAACACGGGGCTTTTCACATTTCTTCTTTCTGTTTGTCCAGTCATTTAGCATAATAACTACTGATATTATCATACTTCATTTTAAGTTAAAATAACTTTTTGTTGTTGAGTTCAAAGGACAAGATAAGTTCTCTTTAGAGACATACTAAATAAAATAACTTAAATTGAAGCTATTTTTAGAAATCCCTCCAACCAATATTCCTAAAAAATATGGGGGAAAACTTTTTTTTTTTTAAACTTTAGGTGAGGAGAAAGCTTGAAAATGTTATACTTATCCTTGTGGTCTGGCGTACCTATCACACAGTAGGTACTTCAGGTTTTACTGTTTATTAAGGCAAAATTGCAGGCATTCCATAATAGGTTTTTAATGAGACGGGGGCCTTTCAAACAGTCTTTTCTCCACTAATAAGTAATTACCTTGAAATGTGATTTACAGCAATACCCTTGACATTTAGCTTCGTTTTGTTGCACACCTTCAGGATAAGCTACACTTAAGCTCAAGAGGTTATAGCAGGCACATTTAAAACTTAGAAATTCCCTACACAAGGACAGATAGAGAATTCTGAAACTTTACATTTTGACAACCATGCCTTATATGACTGTGTAAACCCCCAACTGATGCTACCAAGTCTAGAATAACCCTAAGAATCCCCAGGCCGGACTCCTGGCAACCAGCAGCCGCACAGGCCGGGAGATGAGTTCATTGTTCATCTTGAATATTAATTTCCCAACGAGAGTTTCTGGGCAGAAGGGGGATGGGACATCTTGCCTTTTGTTCAAATCAAGATGAATAATAAAATGCGCATGCATTATCTTAAGAAGAGAAGGGGTTAGACCAGATGGATGTGGGATCATTCTTCCTCATTTCTAAAACTAGAGATAAAAGTAAAACTCTCCACAAAGAGGGAAATATGTGTAATCCTTAGTGCTTTCTCTATGAAAACACGCTCATGTGCCTCCGTGAAATGGTTTTTCAAGGCCCCAAACCTTTGCTGATGAAGCTGTGGGAGCCCCTTCTGTTAGAACTGTGTGAACTATGACCTCTGTGCACAAATGATGCTATTAACTCTTAACCTTGTTCGCTGGAGATGGTGCTGCTTTTTAGTCCACATGTAATGCCACCAAATTTGGGGCATTCTGTTGGTCAGGATTGTAATTAAAGTACTTTTTCTACTATGAAGGTTCTAGAGAGCGTGTTCATAAAAGGTATTGCTTATGCATGGGACACCCCTCCCCCCAAATCATGGTACTTTTAGTTTGAGATTTGCCACTTGAAAGAACAATAAAGTGAACACTTTTAATCTAGTTTTAAAGGATTTGAAAAGAGAGATAGAAGTCCCCAAACTGACATCTTACGACCATGGAAATCAGTTTTTTCTGCTGACGGAACTAACGTAAGCAGTGGGAAGGACTGACCAGCACGCTGCTGTGACGATGTGTTGGTTTTCCTTTTATAGAAACTATTTCTGGGGCACAGTGGATGGTGTTCTGTTATTGTAAGAGACGAGAGAGTTTTCTGGGAGCGGAGAATGGACACTCGAGGTTCTGATCTGGGCCTGCCACGAACCAGCTGTTTCTGGCAAGTAACATGAGCCCCTCCTGCCTGTAAGGGGTCCTCCAGGTCCATGCTTCCATTACCGAGCGGCTGGGCAGTGGCTCTGTAATGAGCCAGTGCAGGATTTCCGAGCACTTACTTGGAAAACGTTAGAAATAACCTTTGCCCTTTCTACTTATTGGAGTCATGTGCCTCCCTATGTGGGGTGTGTGGGGAAAGTACTCGTTTTTCAGGGGAATCCTCTTTCCTGTCATCCCCAAAGTTGCATTAAATGTCCGCATCTTAGGGCTTGTCCTGGTGACCAGAGGAACGGGGGTGGGGAGATGATGGATAAAGACCTGGCAAGTTATAACCATATGCACCTTTCAGTGAACAGCATCCTGCTGCCTCCCTGTCCCTCTTTGCAGAGACCCATTTTCAGCCTCGCTGCGCCAACTGTGTTTTACTTTGAAACTACCTGTGTTGACTCCTTTCCCCAGGCGAGAGAAGTGAGGGATATTACACCTGGTGGTGAATGACTTTATTCTTTATTTCCCAGGAGAACATGAATGTGCTTACAAAAGGTCACCTCTCTTGGTATTTCAATATCTTTTACACTCTTGTGAACGTTTTTATTTGAAAAAATGAATATGAGTATATTGTATAAAACCCTTAGCATTTTTACGCCTCCAGAGCAATTCTGGCTTAAATTCCCTGTACCCCGGAGAGTTAGGACTGTGTGGACAATGGCATGTTCTTTGGTACAAGGTTGCTTATGCTTAGTGCAGATATAACCAAGGAGCAGAATCTGGTTAGATTCTTGCTGGTGGGACAATATGCTGACTTTTGAATTTAGTAGATCAGTCGTCGAAACAGTGTGTACCTAACCTACACGATGTAAAGTAGAGGTTCTTGTAGTTTGTAAGAACATAGACCAGAGTCAATTCTTAATTAAACTTGGCCACAGTAACACAAGAAGGAGATGACATGGGTAATTTTGTAAGTAGATAATAAACTTTTCCTTAAGTAGTTAATCCCTAGACTATTTTTATTTGACAGCAGAATGCACACCCAGTTGGTCAGCAAGTCCTATTGA